TAAAAGATTTTGGCACAAGCAGTAAATGCTTGGTAATGAATAAATGGTGGCAAGATAATTATATTAATTTAAATAACAGTGAATAGTATGTTACTTAAAGCATCCAAGTAGAACTTAAATGACCTTATCTTGGAGGTGTTGTAGAGGTAATTCCTTTTTGAAAGTAAAAACATTGGTACAAGTAGATTACTTCTAAGCTTCATTTCAAATCTAAGATATTTGTATATAATGTTTAATTTACTTTGTTTAGACTCTTGATTTTCCAGATTTTATTCCTTTTTGTTATAAACATCTTACTGATTTTTCTTTGTTTCTTATAAGCGTACGATACAGAATCTATCATTACATCTGTATCTACCACTGCCTATTTACTACACCAAAAATTTATAACCAAGGAAACACAGAGTGAACAATAAAGAGATAACATCTCATTAAATAAGCAACTTATCTCAAAAGTTTTATGCTATGTTTTTTCTTACTACAGAATTAAAATATGTTCACAGTAGGAAATTTACAAGATTTAAATAAAATGTAAATAACCGTGTAGGCCAAGGAAAGGAAACTTTTTCCTTCTTTCACTTTCTAGGACAGAGAATTAATATTATAGGCTATATTCTGGAATGCTGATTTTAGGACACATTTTCTAGTGGCCAGAATCACTGCATTTTAAGAGGTTAGAAACTGGATGTGGTTTTCTTTCTTCTCACTTCCACACAAGAGACTGAAGTTGTAATTGGATCCAGGCCTTCCACAAGGCCTAACCTGTTCCCTCTTGTCTTATTTTTTGCTGCCAGAATATAGGAGGTCCCCAGATGCTGTATGGGAGTGGAGGAAGTGAGGGGCTCAGTGATCACTGAGTTTAAAAGAGATTCTTTACATCTCTAGCCTAGGTCGCAAGCCTAATAAGGTTTCAGACACACAGCCTAATAATTTTTGTTTGTTTGTTTCTTGGAGGACTTATGTAGAAGAAAGGCTGACATATGGGACAGGCATAGTGTGTTAATTGATAAAATATAATCTACTAGCACTGTAATCTCTGATTTTCAACAATTCACTTTACCCAAAGATAATCACTGGGATACTTCAATTCAAAGCCTTTATGTCTCCTTTTTCTGTTAACTTAATCTTGATTTTATGCTTAGTTCCTAGGAAATAATTCAAAAGTATTCCAAATCCATTATGGAAATACTGTTTTTTCCAGGTACCTACTTTCCCAGACTCCCTGCAGCTAGAATTTGCCATGTGGCCCACTTCTGGCAAAAAGGTAAGGGCAAGTCTGCTAGGAGAGGAGGATTTCAGAGGAATGCCACCCCTCCCCAGGATGAATGGAGAGCTCCATTTACCATCTTCTTGTTTTTGCTTTCCCAACCATGTTTTTTGGCTCTATAGCTGTAATTTTATGACCCAGAGAAATAAAACTGAGGAAATACCATCAAATGAGGATGACAGAGAAGGAAGAGAAAAAGAGATTGGTTCCTCTGTAAGCTCACAGAGCCATTGAAGCAAACCTGGAACAGACCACCTTGAGACCACATAACAGAGTTTTCTGTGCCTTGCAGCTAAGTAAAACCTATGTTTCAAACCTTTTCCTCTTACAAGCAGAACTTTTAGAAACATTTATATACTGGTGTCTTTATTCATATCTGTGATTATGTTTTTATGATGAACTCCTAAAGATGGAAGTACCAATTCACAGGAAATGCAAAACTCTAAGACTTGGTACACACTGCCTGCCCTCAAGAAAGATTGCACACATTTAGGATTCAATAAACACTATAGAAACTCTTAAAAATGTAATTGTACCAAAAAAGTTAATTTTCCTTAAGGAGAGCCCACATTTCTGCAACTTTTTAGAAAGCCCAGAAAAATTCCATGAGAAAACACAATACATAAAATCTAGAAAACAGAATAAAATATATAGAAAGACATCTTCAATCTGTAAATGCATAAACATATAAAGAAATCATCTAAGTTTCCAGACTTATGGGCACCTGGTAAAGCTATCAACTGACAAGGCTAGTTGAACTTCAGATTTTGAGTATCTCAATTAGCCTGTGCAGGATTAATCACTTTGGAGCATAGCACAGCACTGTGGATAATGTGCTTGTCCCCTGAAGACTGTCACAAGAGAGCCTGAAAAAGGAAAACTGCCCCTGGAATTCTATTTCCAGACACGTAGTGCTGAGTTTGTGACTTCAAAGTCCTCACTTCCCCATTTGCCCAGTCTGTTTTCCCTAATAAAGGTCATTTCAAAGAGTTATAAAGGCAGTATCAGAGATAGCATATTAAATGCAGCAAAATGGTAGCGAAACATATGGTAGGCTGATTACTGCAATATAGCTCAAATTTATGACACAATAGAACTTCATTATTGGGTTAGTTAACTGAAAGTTGAAAGGTCAAAGGTGTAGAATGTCCTTTGGAGAAGTTTTGTCAATTTCTGTATTATAGATGTTTGACAAGTTAATTTTTCAGTGCACCCTACTGTAACTATTCTCAATATCTAAATTTACCTGCTCAGATAGGTCTAAGGAAAATCTCTGTGACATGAAATGTCATTTCTCCTAATGAACAATTTATTTTCAGCTTCCTTTGGGGTCAGTTAACAGTAGAAATACATGGCATTTCCGAATATCTACCTATTCTAGTTCATTACTAGAATAACAAGTTCATTACTATATTCCTGACTGCTCTAATAAATGAGTCTATTTACTTCTAGCTATATATTCTCATTCTGTATGTCTGACACATGAATGCAATGTTAATGAAAGAAGCAATATAGGAAGACCTAGGATCTAGGACAAGCACTGTGAACAATACATTATTTGCTTTATAATAATTTAGGTTGATGTAGGTGTGAAAAAATGACAACCACATGGGAACGGTATGGGATGATCAAAGTCAAGAAGTGGTAAAGCCCAGAAAAGAAAAGGAAACATTCCCCCTTGAATTACAAGGCTTCAACTCAGTGATAAAAGGATTGTTGTTGTCAAAAGAAATAAACTAAAGGACTACTGTGTACATCCAGAGGTATCAACATGATCTTTGACCTTGAGATATTTACAAAGTTAATTAAGAAGACAGTACAAGTGCATAAAGAAAGTCGACTATGATGCCCACACAAATAAAACAATATGTGAAGATTGGAATTATGCTCTCACAAGCTAAGGAGCTACCCAAAGCTCCTACCCAAAGCTAGGAGGAGGGCTGGAGCAGATCCTTTGGAGACAGTGGAGTCCTGCTGGCATCTTAACTTCAGACTTCAAGCCTATACAAACTCTGAGGCAATAAATTTATGTTGTTTTTATCCACCTAGTTTGTGATACTTTGTTACAGCACCTTCAGGAAAGTAATACAACTGTGTCCTCCAACTTCTCACCATCTTAAAGCTACTTCGTTTATTTTTGTGTTTGCATCTTATCTCCCCATAGACTGTCTCATGAGAGAGAGAGAGAGAGCATAGCACTTTTCTGGAGATGAATATTTGGATGATATGCAATACTTATCCTTGAGGGACTTAATGAAGTATTTGTAATTAAAATGTAAAGCATTTCTATTCCATTAACTGAACCGACAGTGAAGTACTGCTGTGTTCTAGATGCTGCTACAAACATGGGACGCAGTGGGTAGCAGGAAAACCTGGCCCCTTCTCCGAGTTTATGTAATGCAGGGGAGAAAGATAATAAACAAAGAGTATACTACAGGATGTAATAAATATTAGAATTGTGGGATAAATGTCAATGGCTTGGTCAAGAAAGGTCAGTCAGAAATAAACTAGGTTGGTTTGAGAAACAGAGAGAAAGTGAGTGTTGAGATGAGGTACATGAGCAGTAGAGGGGGCAAATGAGAATGAGAGGGAGAAGTATTTGATCTCATAGGGGCTGGAAAGCTATGATCAGGATTTTGATTTTATTCTAAAGCCTAATGGAAAGCCATTAGGAGGTTCCAACTAAGATCATATCATGTTTTCCATTTTTATTTTTTCATGTTAATTTTTTTAATTTTAAATTTTTGTGCATACATAGTAGGTGTATATATTTATGAGGTACATGAGAAACTTTGATACAGGCACAATACATAATAATTACATCAATCATCACTCTGGCTGCTGCGGGGTAAACAGACTATAGGGAGATAAAATTAAACACAGGAAGATGATTTGACATGGGGGCTGTTGCTAATTGTGGCTTTGTCTAGGGTGCTGACACAAGGGGTACGTGTTACCAATTGTATCATGAAGGTATAGCTAACAGTAGTTGATGTTGGATGGAATATAGATGTGCTGGAAAATAAGATCAGTCCTAATTCTTAGGTTTCTTCATGACCTCTTATCAATTAAAATCAAACTGTATTTATTGGATGGCATTTCTTCAAATGAGAAGAGTTTACTTGATGTTTACATAGAAGAAGGTAGGTAGCCATCTGGGATAGATAATCCTTAAGCTCTTTTAAACCCTGAGTGCCCGTGATCCTAATGTTTAGAGCAAAGCTGCTACTCTACCTTTGATCAATTAGTCCTAGGAACTGAGCTCACACAGTGAAATGATAGTAGGGACTAGGATGAAGACTGCATCCATAGTATAATCATGTTATTTATGAATTTTCCATTGTTACATAATACCGTGATTAACAACAATTATTTTCTGGATACCTCTGTATTCTAGGTTTAGTGTTAAATGCTTTATGAATGCTACCAGTTAATCCTCATAAACCCTTATAAATCAAACAACTGAGTCTGAGAGGACAGTAATATGGTCAGGATTTAAGGGCCAGGAAGTAACATAACTAGAGTTTTAATCCAGATTTTCCTAACTTCCAAGTCTGTTCTACCTCCCCTCTGATTTGTAAAGACATTCAATGAATAACAAAGACAGTAAGAAGTATTAAAAATAAGGTAAAACAAATAAACACTTTGATCTTTTAACTTATTTGAAATTTGGTTTGGCATATAAGATAGCATAAATTTGTTTCAGTGTGTGAATATATACATGCTAATTATAAATACATATACATGAATAAATATATAAATTTATATGAATATATCTATTGACTCTTTGTAGGTATATACATACTATATGCACACACACATGCACACACTCTAGATAGAAACAAAATATCTTAGTAAAATAGGTAAAATTTCCTTGCCATGAGTGACTTTCATGATTTCAGAATTAACCAAGTATTCTTAGAATACATCAACACTATTGGCTTATTGGCTTATTATTCCTCAAAGCCAAAATGAGAAAGATCTTTAAAAAAGAAAAAAGTGGGATGTAAGTTTTATTGCTTGCTCTGTGTTCCTATTCACTGGTTGCCGAGAGAAGTAAATTAAAGTGACAAAGAGTTGAAATGGAAATCAAATTTTGCTAGTATTTTCGTTCAAAGAATTCTTCAAAAAGTTGAAATTAGAAGAAAAAATGAAGGTCATCCTCATTGGTGATGAAATATTCCCTTGCTGTCAAGGAGGATGTGGACACAAGAAAAACAACTTGGACTTAACCAGAAACTCAAAATACACTGCATTTTCAACTTAGTAATTAGGCTGATATGGGATGTCACAAACCGTGATTGCTACAGTGGACTGGCTTTGAAATGAATTCTCTGGATTAAATGGTGCCGGCACATTCTGCAGGCATGGCTAATCTGTGTGAAACGATGGTGCTGGGGAAGTCACTCCTGCTTGCTCTGACTAAAGCCTGTTCCCATGCACCTGTTGGAAGAGCAGGTTTTTTTTTTTTTCCATAGATCTGATTTTAAAAATAAGGTTAAAAGATGACAGCTGTGAGAAAATGAAGCCATTCTCTAGAGAGTAGCTGCCTTATGGGATAAGGAAAACAGTTCTTGGAAGCAAGCCCTGCAGCACTTTATTAGTCAGGTGTCAAAGGAGAGCTGTCTTCTCTGGAAGTTAGGCTGAAAAATTTTCTTTTAACCCAAACCTTTGCAGCATAACTTTTACTCTGTGAAAAGTCAAGAAAATGAACCTCTGTGTCCATATATTTATTTCATACCTTTTGACAAATATTGATTAAGCAATTACTTAGACACTATAATTGACAATACTAATATGAACCTAAAAAACTAAAAAACTCTATATGTAAGGAAATTTTAATGAGCATTAGCCAAAAAGTTTAATTCAGCATTTAACACTTCTGCACACATGTGAACAAGCTGTTGTTACTGTCTGCCAAGGTCCTTTGGTGTTACTGCTCAGGGTTACAAAATTTTTTTTCATGAATAACATTTAAAAATAAAATATATTTTGCCAGATTTATACTTACATAGGACATGGATACCAAGAAGCAATTTAATGATAAGGAAAATACTCTTCCTACATTGAAGAGTTGACTTAAGAAGCGAAGTCATCAAGGGAATATTCCCAGGAATCCAGAAAGGTAGGTAGAGGCAGAAGTGATAAATAGTGGTCCAGGCTATGGAGAAGCCAGGTCAGATGGACTAAAGAAAGTAGAAGCTGGTCCTAGTAATACGTGATCATTTTGAAACTGGTAGAGCAGATTCATAAATAATGTGATGGCCAAGTCCAAAATGCGGTGGGTTGGGAAATAAAGAACTGAGAAAGGAGAGTCAGTGAACAGAAATGACTCTTTATGACATTCAGTATTTAGGGTTAGAGAGCACATTGAGTGGGAAGTGGAGGAAAAGGGGATTTTGGTGGGGAATAAGGACACAAGAGAATGTCCCTAGAAGGCAAGGCAACCTGGAGAAGGAGAAAATAAAGACTGAGAAGAGGACCCAAGAAAGGTAAAGACAAACACATAGTTGAGCTATATGGTTCTCCATGGCAAGGCAGAGAGAACGTTTAAAAATGCAGGAGGTTTTGAGATGGATGACAAGAAAGCCCAGAAAGCTGAGGAACTGGGAAGTACAGCAATTGGAGGTGATGGGCCAAGCAAGACAGGAGCAAGCAGAAAAGACTGGAACCAAGGCAGAATACAGTTTAGAGAAGGAGATCTGGTTGTTTAAGTCACTCAAGAGGAAGCCAAGAGCAGAAGGGGAGAAGAGAAAAATCTGATAACTAACTGGTGTTACTCTATCAGGCCATATGTAGCATGTGCATATATTTATACATGTACATACATGTACACACATATATACTGTCATGCATCACTTAACTACAGTGATATGTTCTGAGAAATATGCTATTAGGCAGTTTCATCATTGTGCAAGTATCTTAAGAGTACTTAAAAAAATCAAGATCGAATAGCCTACTACATACCATGCTATATGGCATACCTTATGATCCCAGGTCATAAACCTGCACAGCATGTTACTATATTGAATACTGTAGGCAATTGTAACATAGTGGTGAATATTTGTCTATTTAAATATAGAAAAGGTATAGTAAAAATACAGTGTCATAGATCAGGCTCGGTGGGTGGCTCACACCTCCAACATCTTGGGGGGCCAACGCAGGCAGATCACAGAAGGCCAGTAGTTCGAGACCAGCCTGACCAATGTGGCAAAACTCCATCTCTACAAAAAACACAAAAATTATCCATGCGGTTTCATGTCTATAATCCCAACTACTCGGGAGTCAAACACAAGAATCCCTGGAACCCAGGAGATGGAGGTTGCAGTAAGCTAAGATTGCGCCACTGCACTCCAGCCTGGGTGACAGAGTAAGACCATCTCAAAAAGAAAAAAAAATACAGTGTTATAATCTTATAGGACAACTATTATAGATGGAATCTGTTATTTACTGAAATGTCATTTTGTAGCACATGACTATGCACACACACACACACACACACATATACTATAATACCTATGACATTTTAACAAAAATTCCTGTTCATGCTTTTCTTCAGAAATGAGATTAAATTTGGGGAAGCATTTTCAAGGTCCTAAAATCAAGTTGTTATAATGAGAGAAAAAAGAAGACTGTAATATTTCACATTATGTAGTATTTTTTCAGTCATCAGAACACTTACACATACTACATGGTTTTCTTTGAGCCTCAAAGCATAACCCTGGATACTATTTGGGCAGGAATTATTTTTTTCTATTCTGCCAATGAAAAAAAACATGTTGTGGCCACACAGATCTTCATATTTTAAAACCCAACCTACAGCACTTTTTATTGTAATCTATATATCACATTGCCTTTCTATTCAGACTTTAAATTATTTTTTCTATGCAAAATTAAAATATATTTTCAGTGCTCATTTTTATAAACTGAGTTTTTATGCATATTTGTATATTAATGCACTACTTATAAGAATGTTTGTGAAATATCAACATTCATTACAGGTTCCTTTGAATTCCAAGAAAATCTTTCATTGCATGAATATTACTATTATCTCACTTTCCAGCTTTCTCAAAGCAGGCACTGTGAAGAATGCCTCAGACTGGCAAATAAATAAATAAAATAAAATAAAATAAAAGATATTAGGACATTACTGGAGAGAAAAAGAAACTGCACTTTGATAATATTCGTTATTTAGCTGAAATGTACAGCTCAAATAGAAGCTTTTGGCATTTCTCACATTACAGTGAAGCACTAGAGAGAAAGTAGCAACACAGAAATGTACTTGTTGCCTGAGGCATGTTTTAATTTGGGGTTCAATGATTCTGTCCTACATGACCAACTAAAATAAAAACCTATGTTCTGGAAGTTGGTTTGTGAGGATTTAGGGGTTAACAACTCTGAATGACTTAAGCATCCCCTACCGGAGTATGATGCTTGTTTTATTTGGCTTAGAATTGTACCTAGGTAGAGAATGATGAACTTCTATTTAATTGTGACATCTTTTCTTTCTCATTTCTTAGAAAAGGGGATATGTCATCAGTTGGGCAGCAATACAAACTCTATTCTTCTAAAGTGGATTTTAAAGTTATTAACACAGAGTTTCATCAGGATTCCTTTTAGCAGGACCAATATCAAGGGCCAGTTTCTGTTGCATCTCACCTGCAATTTATTTTTTATCAAATTATGTTGGAACTAAAATATGGTGGGTTAAGAACATCAGTCCTTTCTGCAGTGTCAAGGAGCTCATTTTTGAACACTAGTTCTTTCCCTATGGTTCTGTATTGGGCATGTAATTTAAGAAGTCTGCCACATTATTTTGAAAGTTAAGCTCAGAGTCTCCTTGGGTAATTGGGGTCACCTTCCTGTGGGCAGTACTTGAACTGAGACAATTCTGATTAAAAAAAAATATTTCTGAAGATATCTTGAGAGATGGCAGTGAAAAAGTCAGAACAGAATGATTTTTAAGCAGGATTTATAAGTGTTTTTAAAAATTCTTAGAATCACATACATCTAATTTTTTATATGTACAGAATTGTTCATTTCAGAACTTTTTAGAAAGTAATTTAAAATTTTTTTTGATATAGTTCTTAGAAGTAAGATTCTTCACTTACTTCATTCCTTTTTATTTTCTTTTAGTGTGAGGAGAGCAGAAAAAATAAAATCTGCCTTCTAAAAACACTTTGTAGGGCTGGATGTGGTGGCTCACACCTGTAATCCCAGCACTTGGGAGGCCGAGGCAGGCAGATTATGAGGTCAACAGCTTGAGACCATTGTGGCCAACATGGTGAAACCCCGTCTCTACTAAAAATACAAAAATTAGCTGGGCATGGTGGCATGTGCCTGTAGTTACAGCTACCCAGGAGACTGAGGCAGGAGAATCACTTGAACCTGGGAGGCAGAAGTTGCAATGAGCCAAGATCGTGCCACTGCACTCCAGCCTGGTGACAAAGCAAGACTCCATCACAAAGAAAAAAAAAATACCACTTGGTAAAGGATGAAGATTATCAACTGGAGAGCTATGTGTGGCTATTTATCTTTTATAACTTAGAGCCAAAAGAGGAATATTATATGTAATGTCATACATAGGTAGAGAATGATGAACCAAATCCTGTTTTATTGCAGGATTTTTAAGAACTTACTTTTGAAATGATGCAGAGCCATGGTGCTGCAGAAGGTGGATGTTCAGCATAGTGAGACTTAACATTCAATATGAATTTGATTGAAATCAGATGGGAAAACATTCTGCATCATTCTTCCTGCTCCTCTTGTCTGCTAGGATATTATCTGTATGAATAAAAATAACCTCCCCCAAATAATTTACATAGTGATTTTTCTATTATTTTTTGTAGGAGAAACAAACAAACAAACAAAACAAGAAAATGACCATGGAAAGTAACAACAACTGAAAAAGGATAAAAGAAAATGTGTGAAAGAGGACAAGAAGGGCAATACCAAAAGTATACAAGGAGTGCTTATGCGGTAACCACTTTAGAATGCTTTTGCTGATGTTTGAAGATTTCAAAACTAGGGCAGAGACAGATCTCAGTGACTAAGCAAATAAAAGGAGAAGAATGAGGCATTTTCTTCTCTCATGTACAGATTATATGTAATTACGATGCTAAGGATAATTTTGTAGCATAAAAAAGGGGATGCTAAGGAGAATAGTTTCTCCCTAACTTGTAGAAGGAGGGTATACTATAGTCTATCAAAGAATGAAACCTGTCCTCTCCTAATAAAGTCTCAAACCAGGGTGACTGGCTTTCTTTTGAGTTAGAGTTACCAGTTTCAAATAAATGCTTGGTAATACCATGAAATATAAACATGTTGTCATGGTCAGTGCGTCTCATATTCTGCAATGATACCTTTCTCTATTCTTTTCTGAAATTTCTTTCCCATTCTTAGCAAATAGCCTCTGATCATATATCACACACACAATTGAACATATCACATAGAAATTTCATCAGCTCACTGCCTCCAAACCAATGAACCTAAAATCTACTAACATCAACACCATCCAGGAAACCATAACCTCACCAAATGTACTAAATAAGGCACCAGGGACCAATACTGGTGAAACAGAGATATGTATCTTTCTGACAGATCATTCAAAATAGCTGTGTTGAGGAAACTCAAAGAAATTCAAGATGACACAGAGAAGGAATTCAGAATTTTATCAGATAAATTTAACAAAGAGATTAAAATGATGAAAAAGAATCAAGAAATTCGGGAGCTGAAAAATGCTACTGGCATAATAAAAAATGCACCAGAGCCTTTTAATAGCAGAACTGATCAAGCAGAAGAATGAATTAGTGAGCTTGAAGACAGACTATTTAGAAATACACAGTCAGAACAAAAAAAAGAATAAAGAATGAAGCAAGGACGCACACCTACAGGATCTAAAAAATAGCCCCAAAGGGCAAATCTAAGAGTTACCAGCCTTAAAGAGAAGGTAGAGAAAGAAATCAATAGCCAAGTACAAGAAGGTTATAGAACACCAAGCAGATTTAATCCAAAGAAGACTGCCTTGAATCATTAAATAATTAAACTCCCAAAGTTCAAGGATAAAGAAAGGATACTAAAAGCAGCAAGAGGAAAGAAACAAATAACATACACTAGAGCTCCAGTACACCTGACAACAAACTTTTCAGTGGAAAGCTTACACATCCAGAGAGTGACATGGTATATTTAAAGTGCTTAAGAGTGGCTTTTACCCAGAATATATTGGACAAAAATATCTCTCAAACATTAAGAAGAAATAAAGATTTTTCCAGACAAATAAAAGCTGAAGGATTTCATCAATACCAGATCTATCCTATAAGAAATGTTAAAGGGAATACTTCAATCAGAAAGAAAAGGCCATTAATGAGTAATAAATAATCACCTGAGGTACAAAACTCACGAGTAATAGTAAGTACACAGAAAAACACAGAATATTATAACATTGTAATGGTAGTGTGTTAACTAATCTTATCTAATAGAATGACTAAATGACAAATGAATAAAAAATAATGACTACCACAGAGTTTCAAGACATAGTCAATACAGTAAGACATAAATAGAAACAACAAAAAGTTAAAAAGTAGGGAGGCCAAGTTATGGACTAGAGTATTTATTAATTTTCTTTTTGCTTGTTTGTTTATGCAAGTAGCGTTAAGTTGTTATCAGGTTAAAATAATGGGTTAAAAGATAGTATTTGTAAGCCTTACGGTAATTTCAAACCAAAAACCATGCAAGACTACACAAAAAAATAAAAAGCAAGAAACTGTCATATCACAATAGAACATCACCTTCATTAGAGGAAGACAGAAAGGAAAGGAAGAAAAGATAAGCAAACGAACAAACAAACAAACAAAAAAACCACAAAACAAAATGGCAAGAGTAAGTCCTTACTTGTTGACAACAACACTAAAGTAAATGGACTAAATTCTCCAATCAAAAGACATAGACTGGCTGAGTGGATGAAAAAACAAGACCCATTGATATTTTACCTATAAGAAACACATTTCACCTATAAAGACACACATAGACTGAAAATAATGGGCTAGAAAATGATACTCCATTCCAATGGAAACCAAAAAAGAGCAGGATCAAGATACTTATATAAGACAAAATAGATTTCAAGACATAAACTATAAGACAAGATAAAAAAGTTTGCTATATAATGATACAGGGGTCAATTTAGCAAGAGGATATAACAATTTGAAATATATATATGTACCTAACACTGGAGTACCCAGATAAATCAAGAAAATATTATTAGAGCTAGAGAGAAACAGGTCCCAATACCATAATAGCTGGAGGCTTCAACAACTTAGTTTCAGCATTGAAGAGATCTTCCAGACAGAAAATCAACAAAGAAACAGACTTAATCTGTACTATAGACTAAATGGATATAATAGATATTTACAGAACATTTGATCCAAGAGCTTCAGAATACTCTTTTTCTTCAGCACATGAATCATTCTAAATGATAGACTATATATTAACTCATAAGACAAATCTTAAAACATTCAAAAGTTTTTGAATTATCAAGCATATTCTCTGACCACAATGGAATAAAAATTAATAACAAGAAGAATTTTGGAAACTATAAAAATACATCAAAATTAAACAATGTGCACCTGAGTCCAGTGGGTCAATGAAGACATTGAGAAGGAAATTGAAAAATTTCGTGAAACAAATCATAATGGAAACATAACATCCAAACACCTGTGGGATACAGCAAAAGCAGTACTCAGAGGGAGTTTTATAGCTAAAGTGCCTACATCAACAAAAAGAAGAAAAACTTCAAATCAACAATATAATGATCCATCTTAAAGAAGTAGAAAAGCAAAAGCAAACCAAACCCAAAAGTAATAGAAGAGAACAAATATCAGTGCAGAAATAAATGTTGAAATTGTTTTTAAAAAGCAGCTCAATGAAACACAAATTCAGTTTTTTGAAAAGTTAAACGAAATTGACAAAACGTTAGCCAGACTAACTTAGGGGAAAACAGAGTAGATCCAAATAAATAAAATCAGAAATGAAAAACAAGACATTACAACTGCTGCTGCAGAAATTCAAACCATTACTAGCTACTATAAGCAACTATAGGCCAATAAACTGGAAACTCTAGAAGAAAAGGGCAAATTTCTAGTCATAAAACCTACTAAGATTGAGCTGGGAAGAAACTCAAAACCTGAACAGTCCAATAACAGATAATGAGATTGAAGCCATAATGAAGTCTCCCAGTAAAAAAAGCCCAGGACCCAGTGGCTTTACTGCTTAATTCTATCAAACATTTAAAGAACGAATTCCAATTATACTCAAACTATTCTGAAAAATAGAGGCGGAAAGAATATTTCCAAACTCATTATCTGAGGTCAGTATTACCCTGATACCAAAATCAGACAAAGACACATAAAAAAGAATGACAGGCTAATATATCTGATGAATACTGATGCAACAGTCCTCAACAAAATAGCAGCAAACTGAATTCAACAATAGATTAGAAAGATCAGTCATTATAACCAAGTGGGATTTATCCCTGAGATGCAAGGATGGCTCAACATATGCAAATCAATCAATGTGATACATCATGTTGACAGAATGGAGGATAAAAACCACATAATTATTTCAATTTTTGCTGAAAAAGCATTTGCTAAAATTCAACATTCCTTGATGATAAAAGCCCTCAAAAAACTAGGGATAGAAGGAACATAACTCAACATAATAAAAGTCATATATGACAAGACCCAGAGCTAGTATTATTCTGAATGAGGGAAAATTGAAAGCCTTTCCTCTAAGATCTGGAACATAAGAAGGATGTCCACTGTCACCACTGCTATTCAATAATGTATTGGAAGTCCTAGCTAGAGCAATCAGATAAGAGGAAGATATAAAGGGTATCTAAATTGGAAAGGAAGAAATCAAATTATTCTTTTTTATAGATAATATGATCTTATATTTGGAAAAACCTAAAGACTCCACAAGAAAACTATTAGAACTGATAAAAAAAATTTCAGTAAAGTTGCAGAATACAAAATCAGCATACAAAAATCAGTAGCATTTGTATATGCTGACAGTGAACAATGTGAAAAAGAAATAAAAAAGTAATCCCATTTATAACAGCCACACATAAGATTATTTAGGAATTAACCAAAGGAATGAAAGATCTCTATAATAAAAACTATAAAACACTGATGAAAGAAATTGAAGAAGACACAAAGAAATGGAAATATATTCCATGTTCATGAATTGGAAGATGTAATATTTTAAAATTATCCATGCTCACCCAAAGCAGTCTACAGATTCAATACAATCTCTGTGAAAATGCCAATTGTGTTCTTCACAGAAATAGAACAATCCTAACATTTATATGGAAGCACATAAAACCTAGAATAGCCAAAGCTATCCTAAGCAAAATGAACAAAACTAGAAGAATCACATTACCTGACTTCAAATTATGCTACAGAGCTGTAGTAGCCAAAACAGTATAGTATTGGCATAAAAACAGATACATAGATCAATAGAACAGAATAGAGAACCCAGGAATGAATCCAATCTCCTACAGTGAACTCATTTTTGACAAAGGTACCAAGAACATACACTGGGGAAAGATAGTCTCTTCAATAAATGGTACTGGGAAAATTTGATATCTACATGCAGAAAAATGAAATTATACCCCCATCTCTTGCAATATGTTAAAATCAAATCAAAATAATGATTTAAATCTAAGATCCCAAACTATGAAACCACTACAAGAAAACACTGAAGAAAATCTCCAGGATATAGGTCTGGCCCAAAATTTCTTGAGCAGTACCTCACAAGCATATGCAATCAAAGCAGAAAAAAAAATTATATATATATATATATATGGCAAATGGGATAACATCAAGTTAAAAACCTTCTACAAAGCAAAGGATTCAATCAGCAGAGTAGAGACAACTCACATAATGGGAGAAAATATTTGCAAACTACCTATCTGACAAGGGATTAATAAGCAGAATATATAAGGCGCTCAAACAATTACATTGGAAAAAATACTTAGGAAATCAATTTAAACGAGAGGGCAAAAGGCCTATATACTGAAAACTGTAAAACAAAGATGAAAGAAATTGAAGACACAAATAAAGATTTCTCATGTCTATGGACTGACAGAATACTATTTAAATGTTCATACTACAAAAGTGATCTATAGAGTTAATGTAATACATAGTAATAATTAGCTCATTTAGCCATTTTACAATGTATATGTATTTCAAAACATCGAGTACATAATAAATATGTATAATTTTATTTCTATTAAAAATAAACAAATAGAAAAAAGTAAATGTAGTTC